AAACGAACTGGAGGGGAAGCGGGACTGGGAAGAAACTAGCAACAATGCATGGATGGAAATCCAAGTTCTTTATAAACTGTCATTAAAATCTGAAACAACAAAACAAACAAAAACCCACATATGGAACTTTCTAAATTATGTTGGAGCTACAGGAAGATGGCACATTTCAGAGGAAAGTCAGCCCAAGTAACAACATGAAAATGTTGTTTTGTTGTTATGTGCCATCCAGTCGTTTGTGACTCAGAGTGACCCTATGTATAAGAGCTCTAAACACTGTTCTATCCTGTGCCAACCTAGCCATCTCAAATGCACTTATCCCACCGCTCCAGTCACAGAATCAATCCATCTCATCAAAGGTATTCCTCTCCTTCGCCGCCCCTTCACTCTGCCAAACATGATTTCCCTCTCCTAAGACAAGTCCCTCCTTGCAACATGCCCAAAGTGTATCAGACGAAGCTTCAGAATCCTTGACTCCAAAGAGCACTCCAGCTTCATCTTCTCCAGGACAAACCTGTTTGTTCTCCTAGCAGTCCATGGTATATTCAACACTCTTCTCCAGCACCACAGCTCAAAGGCATCAATTCTCTTTCATATCAACCCTATTCACTGTACAACTCTCCGATGCATAGCACATAATTGCGAAGACTATAGCCCGGATCAGATGCACCTTAGTCTCCAGCCTGACATTATTGCTCTTCAGTACTCTTGAGAGGTCCCTCACAGCCGACTTTCCCAGTGCGATTCGTCTCTTGATTTCCTGGCTGCTATTACCAAGAGTGTTGATTGGGGAGCAAAGCAAACTAAAACTGTTAACTATCTCAATCTCTTCACCATCCATACTGATGCTGCCAATTGGCCAAGGGGTGAGAATCTTTGTTTTCTTGATGTTGAGCTTCAATCCATATAGGAGGCTTCAGTTCTTGACCTTCTGCAGCAAGCACTTCAGGTCCTCCTCAGTTTCAGCAAGCAGGGTTGTATCATCTGCATAACTCAGGTTGTTGATGACTCTTCCACCAATCCTGATGCCACATTCCTCTTTGTACAGCCCAGCATCTCGGATGATCTGTTCTGCATACAGATTGGAACATGAAACATGAAAATAGGAAAGGAAAAAAAAAATCCCTAACAGTAGTTTTAGAAAGACATTACTAAATTAGTATTACATATTTTGCTTATTTTTATCTTTTTTATAAGATGTGATTGTAAATTTTTTTGTGATTGTAAATCTTTTAACAAGTATATAATTTCTTAAAAATATTTGTTCTTGTGGCAAGAAGCTGCATTGCAGCCCCAGAGGTACGCAGTTCAAATCCACCAGACACCCTGCTGGAGAAGGAGGGGCAATATCCTCCAGTACCAGTCAGATGTGATTTGATGGTACACACACAAAAAATAAAATAAAATTTTTTTTAAGAAAATTAGTTCTTTACATGAAATTATATATTATATCCCTTAGTTATTTTTCAAAGCTCTCTTCCTTTTTTATGAAATTATTTTAATGTTAGTTTAATATGTATGTGAAATCAATGAGGTGGAAATTCAGTGAAATTCTTGCTACTGAAATAGAGAAAGAACCTCTATTTGTAAATCAGAAAATTAACTGCCAGGGAATATATAAATAAAATCAGTAAATACTACTACTTCTCATACCCTTTTATTTTCTCATTGCATTCAAAATGTACTTCTTTATTAAGAAGTTACTTTCTGCCTTTAGTACACATATTATATTTTGAAGTATAATTTCATAGTGCTAATAAAAAGTTACAGAAGTTTTAATTTACTTAACTGATTGTGTTTTTATAACAACAAATTAGACTATATAAAATGATTAATTTGTGGTCTTTTCTTTCAGATTAAGACATTATGAGAGGTGAAATATATACCAGTATATGTTCTTTGTGAAAATTCAGAAATTATTGAAATTCTGGCTCATTTTAGAATTTCTACAATGGTGCTAATTTACCTAGTTATACTTCCAAAGACAGTATTAATATTATGAACTTAACACTTTATTTTCTATAAAATTGTTCATTGGAATACTGTTGTCTCAGTGTGCTTTAATTGAGAAAGTTACCAGTAGTTAATAAAAACTGTTTGAACTGTGACTTTGTCTTATGAAGTGCTGTGTGTACTGTAGACATTATTAAACTATTCATTTATGAACTTTGCTAATAGAGTATTATTTTTATCAAGATTGCAGTTAAATAGGATAATCATTGTATTTGATGGAATATTTTGTAATTTTTAGAAAGACTGGAAAAACAATGAAAATGAGTTTGTATATATTAGCACTTACTGTATGGCAGAAATTATCTCATTTAATCTTAATAACTATGTAGTAGCTATTTTCTCCGCTTTTTAGAGGTGAGAGAGTTGTTTTTGATTGCCTTCGAGTTGAGCAAGACTCAGTGACACTATGAACAAAAGGACTGAAACCTTTCTATAACTGTTGACATCTGTCAAAGCTCTTAAGGGTAGGGGACAGAAATTATAGTAGGTAACCTTTCTAAGATTATGTATCTATTAGATGATGAAGTCAGCATCTGAGTTTGTATTTGTCTGATGGCACAGTCTTTGTTCTTAAATATACTTTTGCTTTTTAATATTTTCATTCTTTTTTTTTTTCACCAGTTGATTTCATTTTTTAATAAATAGTTTTTCAGTCAGCTCTGTTTCATGTTCAGTATATTACCTGTCTGACCAGTGCAGGAATCTCTGGCCACAAAGGACATAAATTCACATTCTCTGCTTCTCTTTTCTTGCTGGTAGTAAGAGTCCCATCCTCTGATAAACTTGCTTATTTTAAAGCTGGGGAGAAGAGAAAAAGTAACCAGTCCCTATAATGAGTTGATTACTCCCATCTGGTCTACATATTCCCACTCAGCCATGATGGAAATCTGTCATTTGCCTGCATCAAAGAGAATATTATGTAACAAAATAAAACTGCTGAAAGATTCTAAATTCTTCTCTAGGAGGAGATACTTAGACTTGGGCACAGTTGTTTGATGAAATTTTGTTTTCTGTGTTTACAATAAAGAGAACTCAGAAACAAATGAATTGCCTTCAGGTTGGAACCTACTTTCAGGGTTTCAGGAAGCTGCAGATTTCACAGGAGATTGCCCATCTTTCTCCTCAGCAGAGTTGGTGGTGTATGTATATTAACCACCAGAGAGGCGCTGCCTTTGGGTTAGCAGTGTAGCTCCCTATGTGCTAGGCTACCAGAGCTCCCCAAAACAGAGAGGACTAAATAATTTCAAAGCTCCTTTTAATATCTGAGATTCCATTATTTATGACTACTTAAAGCCTAGAAGAAAGAGCATAGTATATCTGTTTAATAAAAGTAGAATACCTCTACTACTCTTATACCCTTTCCATTGGCTCCTTTGGACCAAGATAGTTTATGCCTATAGTTTTCAGCCTTAGAAAACCTTCTGGAGGGTCAAAAATGTGTCAGTTCTGACTTGATGAGAATGAGCTTGAATGGGTTATTTTGTTGTTGTTGTTGTATTTTTGTTTGTCTTTTTGTCTACATACAAAATACAAAGCTCTGGTGGCCTATAGGCTCTTTTAGTACTAACCAAAAGACTCTCTTCCATGGTTCAAATCCATTAATGCCTCCTCAGCAGACAGTTAGTCCTCTGTTAAGATTTACATCTTCAGAAATTTATGCCAGGCAGATTGCTTTGAGTTAGAACTGGCTCGTATGAGTTTCCTTTTTTTTTTTTTGTTTGTTTTGGTGGTGGTTCATTGTTTTGATGTTTGTCTTTTAAAGTACTAAAACTTCAAAAACCCCTCTTGCATGTTGGTAGCTCAGACTTTAGGGAGTTGTGTTGTCAACCCAAAGACTGTGTTTCTCTGGAGGTTTTAATCCACCAATAGCCCAGAGGGAGAAAGATGGGCAGTTTCCTCCTGTTGTCTTTACAGCTTTAGAAACCCACTGGCGGACAGCTGAGTTGGTTCCAACTTAATGGCACGAGTGTATGATTTAAGTGTCTCTAACTAATCACTATCCTTTAAGGTGCACAGATAGTAAGACTTTGTCTCATATTTAAGGCATGTTGTCAAGAGAAGGTGGGTGGTTGGAGAAGGAAAGGAATACTCTCAATGGGGTGCAATGACTAGAACATTGGGTTTAAGCACAACAGAGACTGAGGATGTCACAGAATTGATGAAGGTTTTGATCTTTTGTGCATAAGGTTGCTGTGAATTGGGATTGATTAGTTGGCACCTAATAATAACAAGAAACACTATAATAAATGTAACAGTAAAGTTCATACTTTTCACTTAAAAGTAATCCAGCCTTTTCAGAGGCGGTCAGGTGTGCTAGTATGTCATACTGGAATTAGTGAATTTAAGAAGAAATCCAAACTCTTTAAACATATAAACTGAAAAATCTCCACAGTTTGGTTGGACTAGTCATTTCAGTGTTAGTCATCTCCATACATTTAACTGACTCGCCTCATGGTGCAGTTATAGAAATTATATATATTGGTATCAGTGTTAAGTATTATTTCATTTAAGAAATCTTGCTATTATAAATATAATCAGAATGATACCTTTCTTGCTGGATTTAGTATTGTCCAGTTTTAAGTATGTAATTGTTTATTGAGGAACTTCCTATTGAATGAAAATGAAAATAAAAAAAAACATTCTATAATTGGTCAGTTTAATTTTGCATTTATTTATGTTTTGAACAACTACTAGAAAAGCATTTCTTGTGCATTCTGGTAGCATCCATTAGTACAGTTTAAAATTTAACTAAGTTAAATCTAATGGTAATAGATTAATTTTTGCTAATTTATAGAAACAGGTACTTTTACAAACAAACACAAGAACATTTATCTAGATTTTGAGCATTCATTGGTCTATTTCTGAAGTGTTAGATTTCTAGTAGCTTATTTGTACTAAGGAAAAAAATGTTTGAAAATTCAGCTTCCTAGAATACATGTTTTCATTGAAAACTTTAAGTACAGATCAGTGTTTGTTATTTTGTGTGACAGGATACCCAGAGTTATATTGACGAATGTCCTGGGAACGGAGTTAGGAAGAAAATACATAAAGACCCTACCTGTAACTGAGGCCAGTTTGGGTGATACAGACAACTTGCAATCAGAGCAACTTTCTTCACCTGATGGCAACCTAGAATCTTGTCAAAATCTAAATCCTCACAAGAGCTGTTTTTTATCTGAAAGGTATGTTTAGTGATTACTCAAAATATAAATATACTTATTCTCATTAGCCCTCCCTGTTACTTCCCCCTAGCTATTGCTAAATTGAGTTAAACATGCTCTGATGGCTGTTATGTCTTGCCTCCTTTGGTGGCTAATTAGTTGTCATTACTAACAGTCTATTACTAATGCCAGTTTCAAACCGTACTGGTCACTCTACATGCATTCTGGGAAAATATTCAGAAATGAAATTTAGTTTCCTATTTCAACATTCCAGTTTGTTAATCTAATAAAATTGAAATTTGCTTCTCTGATATGGTGATATACTCTTTACCATCTTCTCTGCCCTAACCATCTGTCTGTTCATTTGTTCATCTATCCATCCATCCATCCATCCATCCATCCATCCATCCATCCATCCATCCATCTTCTCTTATTTATGATTTTATCTACAGATTCTAAAGCTGTACCTGGCACTTAGTGCTCACTAAAAAATTTATTGAATGAATGCTTCCTCACAAGCATGGTTTGAGATAGCTGAACTCCATTAACAAACACAGCGTCCTGTGCTAGTAAGAGAGAGAAGTGCAGAAGTCTGAAGTTTCCTTTGCTTTAAGCTCTGGGAGAAATGCATGTGGGCAACTGAAGAAACCAAGCAAGAATTTGTGGAAATAAGCTAGATGGTTAGTTAGTAGATAACACTAGGTCTTCTAAAAAATTTTAAGTTTCTTTTTCATGTACTCCTAAAGCGTCTCTCTTTATTTTTCTATACTAGATCTGTAGAATAAAGAGCTTTTGATTTGAGTGAAAAATTATCTTATTTTTACTTCCCTTTGAACCATCCAAAGTAGATAATTTGGTTTGCAATTCTCTCATAAATCTAGTTAAGTTAAATAGTATTTATACTTGCCCTTCTAAAGGACAATATAATTTCCTGTATTTAAAATAAATTTTGTTTTTATAAACTTTGATTCTTGTTATCTTCTGCAGTTACTTTGTTCTCTTGCTTTGCCAAACTTAGATGAATTATTAATGACAATTTTAATGTTATACTTTTATTGGATCTTTGTCTAAATTTGCTGAAGAAAAATAATAAGAGTTTTAGTTACTAATTTAATGTAGAATGGAGATTATATTGTTAATGTTTATTATAGAGTATAATATTATATGGTAGGTGTTTTTCCCACTTCTGCTAAGATTATGAACTCCTAAGGGACTGCATTATATCTTGTTTGCCATTATGCTGAGTACTTAGTATGTACTGAATTTGTGTGCTTGCATTAATGTTCATGTTATTTAACCTTGGTCTTCAGGTTTCTGATTTGTAAAAACAGTGATTTTGAGTGTTCTTTCTGTGCCTCAAACAGTTGTTGTATTATCTCTTTTATATGTCATATGTACCCACAAAATGTTAGACAAGTAAAAATGTTATTATTGAAGATACTTAATAAAAGTAATTTCTAACAATATACTGGTTGCTATGGAATTTAAGTGACATCAAAGCACATTTATACTGTTATGAGAAATAGCACTATTGTGAGAATTCTGTGAACATATTGAATTGTAATCTGTTTATTTTAGGCTTGATACCATTCCCACCTGAAGTATAGTAATCACTACAAAATCTCTGGCTATCCTTAAAATATATTCTGTGGTATTTATTGTTCTCTTCAAATTCTTTCTAAATGGTTCTGAAAGTTTTCAGGAGGAATTTTGGTGGGCTCTGAAAATTCTTGGTGGAAATTTTCTTTGGCCTTTAAATTTTTGAAGAAGCGTACACTTTGAAGCTAGACTCTTTGGTTGAGATCTTAAATGTATGACTCACATGCTGACTTAACTTTGGGCAAGTTACTTACCTTTAAATAGAGAATAATATACATTTTAAATTATTATAATGTAAATTCCTTAATAAATTACATGATATATTATGGGTTATTAGTAATTGATGGTTTTTAGTTCTGTCACTTGTCACTACTGTCAACAAAAGCCTCAAAGGCTGTTGCTAATAGTTGATGGTATTGAGATCCTTTGGGTTGAGGCTGCTAATGCTTTGTCCTGAAATACCTTCTATTATCCTTGCTATATTACCAGTACTGATGAGACAGTTATCACCACCACAGCTTGACATAGAGAGGAATATTTCACTCCTTGGGCTCTGGTTGGTGCAAACAGTTGATATATTCAGCTGCTAAATGAATGTGTAAGACTTAACTTGTTATTTTGTTGTGTTGGGGGAATGATTTGCTTATTGCTAATTACGTTGTAGTTTAAATATCAGTGTTCTTGCTTGTTGATCATTGTTTTTATTAGTACAGTACTAGTCTGTCAGTTTGCTGTACTGAGGTAAGTTGTGGGTGGCTGTGATGCTGAAAACTGTACCACCGATGTTTCAGGTGCCAGAAGGGTTACCCATGGTAGAGAAGATTTAGTAGAGCTCCCAGACTAAGACAGACTAGGAAGCAAGATTGGCCACACACTTCTGAAGTAACAGGCCTCTGAAAACCTTATGAACAGTAGTGGAGCCCGGAGAGTTACAGTATTAGAGATAAAGCCCAGATTAGAAGTAAATAAAAATGAAGAGAAACAGCTGCAAACATCTCTTAATATTCGGAACATGGAATGTACGAAGTATGAGTATTAAAAAACTAGAAATTGTGAAAAATGAAATGGAACACATGAACATTGACATTGCCATCAGTGAGATGAGATGGACTGACTTTTTAGCATCTTTGAAGCAGACAGTCACATGGTATACTAAGCCAGGAATGAAAAATAGAAGAAGAATGGTGTTGCATTCATAGTTAGAAAGACAGGTTCAGTTACTATCCTGAAGTATAATGTTGTGAGTGACAGTATGTTATCCATACACATACAAAGAAGACCTGTTAATGTGACTATTATTCAAATAAAAGTATCGACAGCTAAAGCCGAAGAGATGGCAATTGAAGATTTTTATCAAATTTTGCAGTGTGAAATTGACCAGATGTGCACTCAAGATGTGTTAATGAAAACTGATGACTGGAATGCAAAAGTTGGAAACAGTGAAAAAAGAATGGTAGTTGGAAAGTATGGACTTGGTAACAGAAATGTGGCTGGAAATATAAATTATCAAATTTTGTACATTCAGTGATTTATTCATCACAAACACCTTTTAAAAAAATGCAGACAAGTGACTTTATACATGAACCTCACCAGATAGACGGCATAGAAATTAGATTGATTATATCTGTGAAAGAAATTGTCGGGGAAGCTCAATATCAGCAGTTAATACCAGGCCACATACTGACTGATAGACCATCAGTTACTCATGTGAACGTTTGTATTGAGGCTGAAAAATATGAAAACAAATCCACAAGAACCAGAATATAAACTTGAACCTATTCCACCTCAATTTAAAAATCATTCTCAGAATAAGTTTGAAGCATTGATCACCAGTGATTGAAGGCCAGATGAATTGTGGAATGACATCAAAGATAACATTGATGAAAAATACAGAAGATCATACCAAAAAGGAGAAAGAAAAACCAAAATGAATGCCAGAAGTGACCCTGAAAATTATGGTAGAATATTGAGAGGCCAAAACCAGGGAAAAGAGATGTAGAAGTAAGAGTTGAACAGAAAATTTCAAAGGGCAACCTAAAAAGGCAAATAATAGTATTTTAAAGAATTATGCAAAGAGCTGGAGTTGGAGAATAAGAAGGGAAGAACTTGTATGACATTGCTCAAGCTGAAAGAACTTAAAATAAAAAAAAAATTTAGGCTTCCAGTTGCAATGCTTAGATATGCTTAGATATTTAAAGGCTTGAATGACCCACAAAGCATTAAAAGAAGATGGAGGGAATACATGGAATTACTGTATCAAAACAAAAAATGGGCCAACACTAAAATATTTCAGCAAGTACTGTATAATCAAAAGCCAATGGTAGTGAAGAAAGAAGTTCAAGTTGCACCGAAAGCATTGGAGAAAAATAAGGCCTCCGGAATCAATAGTTGGAACATATCAGTTGGTATTCTAACAGTTGCAGCTCTGGATATGCACACCAGCCTATGGCAAGAAATTTGGAAGGCAGCTGCCTAGCTGGTTGACTGGAAGAGATCCATATTTTTCCCATTCCCAAGAAAGGCCATCCAATAGAGTGTAGAAATGAACAAATAATATAATTTTTATCACATGCAGTGAAAATACTGCTGGAGATCATTAAAAAATAACCAATACAGAATAATAAAGAAGTTCAAGCTGGGTTTAAAAGAGGCTGGGTACCAGAGATATCATTGCTGATGTCAGAATGATCTTGGCTAAAAGAAAAGAATACCAAAAGAATGTCTCTTGTGCTTTATTGACAACACAAAGGCATTTGACTTTGTGAATCATAACTTTGAGAAGAATGGAAATCCCAGAACACTCAGAAGTGATCATGTGAAACCTATACCTAGATGCTGTTGTTCAAACAGAGCAAGGGACCAACACTACATGGTTTAAAGTTAAGAAAGGCATGCATCAGGATTGTATCCTTTCTCCTACCTATTCAGTATGTATGCTGAGCATATTATATGAGAAGCTGGAGTCAATGAAGTTAGAATGTGGCATCAGGATCAGAGGAAGACTCATTACTAACCTATGTTAGGCAGATGACACAGCTTTGCTTGCTGAAAGTGAGAAGTACCTGAAGAGCTTGCTACTGAAGATCACACAATACAGACTTTAATATAGCATCTCAACATCAAGAAAAAATAAATTGTCACCACTGGACCATTACACAACATCATGATAAATGGAGAAAAAGATTGAAACTGCCAAAAACTTCATTTTACTCGAATCCACAATCGGCACCCTTGGTGCTAGCATTTAGGAGATCAGGAGATGTATTTTGCTGGGAGGGTCTGAGACCTCTCCAAATTTTTTAGGAGCAGTGATATCAGTTTGAAGACTAAGGTGCACCTGATTCAGGCATACCCTTTTCAGACACTTGCTATGCATCTGAGAGCTGTACAGTGAATAAAGATGACAGAGGAAGAATTGTTGC